TATTATTATCATTGTAGCTTAGCCACATTTACTTAAGATTGAGGTAGAGCAGCGCTATTTATAACAGTAAATATTTTGTCGAATAGGGGCGCACAACATCGCCGTGAGGGCTGTGGGTTCGAAACCCTTGCACTGTACGCACCTAGCCGCTACACCACACACTTAGGCCTATCCCGCACTTAGACATATCTGTCTTTAGACAGACTAAAGCCTGTGTTTTAGGGGGTTGTGAACAATTGAGTGATATGGACCCTCCTGCACAACTTAGACACAACGTTTTGGTCGCCAAAATTGTGACCGGCCACAAACCGAATACGACAAGTTTAAGTAAAGACAAGTTTGAGCAAGTATGAAAATAGAGCAGTCTACTGCACTAAGATAAAACTGCCCGGAAATTTGACGACACGAGTTTCATACACCTACAAATATTATAGATCTATGCATATTGTCGTTTTTACTCCAAACTACATTCTGTGCACATCGAGCAAGGACCATCAGCAAATGTTTTAAAAATGAATCATGGATGTTGATGTCAATTGGGCTGAGACATTAATAAGTGCAGTTGAAGGCAAATTTATGCTGAACGATAAAGCTTTGAAAGATTCTAAAATGGTTCTTTATATTTCTTTCGTCTGATTGAAAACATTAGAGCACATACACATGCTATCTCTGTCAATACCATGTTCGAAATGAATCGTTAATATCAAAGTCTTAAGACGCTTGAATTTCTGTGCGGTACTACTCAAGTGGAAGTTAAATTCTACGACAAAATTGACTGAACGGTCTAAAGACAGTTTGTCTAGGTGCGGTATAGACCTACCTTATGATTTTTACCTTCATCAGCTTTTCAAAACACCTCATAACAACAGGTGGTAAGGCTACGGGTCAAAGCTCGTTCATTTTTATTTTTTTTTAATTATTTTTTATTTTATTATCTAAGTTTATTGCGTATTTTCAAAAGGTCTAGACTGGCTCATGTGTTGTAGCAGTTAGGCGCTTCGCTGTCGTAAGCACGATACCCGAATGTAATTCCTGTATGGGGGAGAATTTAATCTAGTACGTCTGTCTTTCTCATTTGTTCTTATGTCGTGTCCCTGTCAACCTACATTGGCCCTGATAGTGATAGGCAGGGTCGGAAGTTTTCCTTCTGAATAATCTAAATTGTGTCGATGGGGGCGTAATAACACATAAATTTAAATTTTAAAAAAAATTAAGTAAAATTCACTGAAATTTTCAGGGAAAATACGGTTGCTATGGATACTTACCCCATGCGCTTATCTGCCCTTGACGCAATCCCTTTCTTATGGAAGGAAACACGAAGTCTACTTCTGTCCTCGGATCACCTTAAGGAAATACGGCACTGTGCTCCTCGCTTTTCCTCCTTCCAGCTTACACTTTACCCAAGTCAAGAGGCAGACAGCGATAAGATGTGTTCTGTGTGTGAGTTGGCTACCACTGTTCCGAACATGACGACTGAAATGAGAGAAATATCCAAAGGAATTCACCAAAAATTTCGACTCCTCTCTCCGCGGGGAGAAAGAGAGAGGGAGGAGGAGGAGGAGAGAGGGGCGACCCCTCCGCCTGGCCACAATGACGCCGCCAGCAGACGACTCGGCAGGTCGTGGAGCGCGTTGCTAGGACGGGCGGAAGTAGAGGGGGGCAGGAAGTGGACCCCGGCGCTTGCGCAAACACCGAGGAGAAAGATTCCTTGGGCGATATATTATAGATCGTGGTGAAGGATTTACAATGAACATCCCTTTAAAAAGATTGAGATGAAAGGGGGGACAAGTGGCATAGATATAGGGGGGAAATATAGGGCTTTTGTGGCTAACAGAGCTGCAGCACACACACAAAAGAAGAAAATGACGGAATCAAACCTCCTTCTTTTATAGATGTGAAAAATTCAAAAGTTGTAGAGAGGAGAGTACATGATGATTCTAATTTATTTTTATTTTTTACTTTTTTATCAAGTTGACGATTCACTGAATATTTTGAGGGTTTTTTTCGCCTTATTTCGCGGTCGAAATCAGGCGCTTGTCAAATAAATACTGAAATTGAAGATATCGACATTTGTTCGCCATTATAGCTATTTTAATAAATCTTTAGGGGGGGGGGGGTGGCTCAAGACCTTCTATGCCCATTTAAGAGCACATTTCTGTGTGAATTTTACCGAATATCGATGATCAAAAGTACAAAAAAGTACATTTGCAGTTTACAAAGACTCTCAAGCTTTGGAATTCACAAACTTTGGCAACAATTATCTCGAAAATTTTACCTCTGACACCTTTTCAATGTCATACTTCAATGACAAAAATGTATAACTGTGGGAGGTGAATACATAGAGAAAGATTAAGGTTATTACCACATTTTAGCTTTCTACCTTTATTCCTTTTTGGTCTGGTAAAAAACTTTTGATATGCCCCTCGTACATATAGCGCATAGGTGTCGGTTTACAAAAATAATTTTGAAGCTCTCTCTCTCTCTCTATCTCTATTTTTATCTCTCTCTCTATCTCATTCTCTCTCTTTTTCACTCTCTAGTTATTTGTCTCTCTCTTTTTCACTCTCTAGTTCTCTCTCTTACCCTCTCCTGCCCCTCTCTCTCTCTCTCTCTCTCTCTCTCCATCTCTCTCTCTCACTCGATCGCTCTCTTCACTTTTGTTTCCACCTCACTGTGACTGTGAGCCGTTTTCCTACTTTTATTCATACTGTCATTTTACAAATCTGTTAAAGAGTGAGTTGAACACATACGTAAAGACTCAAGCTTTTAAGTTAAAGCGCACACACATGCCACAAAAAAGCTAAAAACACAAGCAAACCCAAAACATATCAGCACTTACTAACACACTATAACTTAGAATTAAGTAAAGGAGTCTTGAACAATCGCTTAAACTTGAAACGTATCAACCTTTGTTATTTCTCTGAGATCATGTTGTTTTTTTATCTACTTGTTGGCGAGTGTTTCTTCGACGGTTAGGCCAATCATGGTTTGGGCCTCCTACTTTTCACTGACATAGCTATCCATTCCCCTACCGATTTTCCACCTCCCCTCCTGCAGATACACTTCAAGTACGATGATTAACATGTACAAATGTAACTGTGTGGTGCCGTGTGCCTGCCTGAGCGTGCATGTGTGTGTGTGTGTGTGTGTGTGTGTGTGTGTGTGTGTGTATGTGCGTGTGCATGCGTGTGCGTATGTGTGCGTGAGTGTGTGTATGTATGCGTGTGTATATGCGTGTGGGTGTGCGTATGCTCGTGTGTGTGCGCGTGTGTGTGTATGCTCGCGCGCGTGTGTGTATGCTCGCGCGTGTGTGTGCGTGTGTGTATTGCCCGCCCGTGAGAGTGTTGAAATATTTACTTGGTAGCGCGTGGAACCATCTGTCAAGCGCAGGGGGTTCGAATCCAGACAGCTCTGAGTCACCGGCCTGGACGGGTTGTTGTTCGGACACAGGCGGAACTCGAACCAGCCCAGATGGCTCTTGGTCAGCTCCACGGACACGCTGACCACTTGACCCTGCCTGTAGGACCGCGCGATGACCCCTTTGACGTATTTCCCGCCAGCCTCATGCTCCCTGGGCCTGTCGTAGGTGTCACCACACACGCCACAGCGCCCACCGTTCTGTCGCCACTGATGCTGAAAGGTGCGGGAGAGGGGTGAGGGGGAGGGGGAGGGGGAGGGGGAGCAAAGGTTTTACGTCACTTGCAGCACTAGTAGGTCTTGAAGGTACTTGCAGGAGAGGGAGGGGCGGGAGTAAAGGTTTTACGGTGTATGCAACACTAATGTGTCATGTTTAAGTTGGGGGGGGGGGGTTGGGGGGAGGGGGAGGAAAGGTTTTACGAGGTTTGCAACACTAATAGGTCATGTAAGTTCTAAAGGAGAGGGGGAGGCGGGGGTAAAAGGTTTTACGTCTCTTGCAAAACTTATAGGTCATGAAGGTGCTTGGGGATTGGGGAGGGGCCCGGAGGTGGGGAAAAGGAACGGTTTTATGTCGCTTACAACACTAATTAATAGGACCCTTGCCTCCTTATCATTATTATTATCCTTTTTATTATCCTTATTTTTATCCTTATCATAATTATCATTGATTTATTATTAGTTTTGTCGTTATTACATTTATAGGGTACATCCACTCTCAACAGCGAGCTCAAGGAGCTTTACAGCTGCAAGTATTATTACCCCAGCAGACCCTAGAACACTAAAAAAAAAACTGTCTAGGCTATCTGTAAAACATGCAGTACTAGCAGCCGATAAAGCGCTAAAACGCTAACAACACACGGACAAAATCTTTCCTGTAATAATTTCTTGTGAACGTATACAATTCGGAGACTTTTTTTGGGCAAAGTAGTGAGATGGGAGACGGGTGTAAAGGGGGGGGGGAGGGGTGGAGGAGAAGGGGCGCGTACATTTTATCTCAAGAATACTCTGTCCTTTTTAAGGGGATGTCTGCTTACTTAATGACAAAGCTTGAACTTTAAAAAAAAACAACGAACAAACAAAAAACAAATACAAATGCAAAAACCAAACAAACAAAAGTTCAAAGTGGCAGAGCGCGTCCTGTGGGTTCAGAAAGCCTCGGAGCTGTCATGTGTGTTTTGATCCGGCACCAGTGCTCTTGCAATGTCTAATGGGATTTTCTTTGGGAAAAATAAAAAGGGGGAAAAAGGAGAAGAAAAAAAAACACAGAAAGGAAGCATCCCAAGAGTGCAACGGCTCGTTTAGCCTTGAGAGCTTGAGAGAAAAAAAAGGAAAAGAGTATCTGTAAAGAAAGACAAAAAGGAGAGAAAGAAAGAAGGAAGCAAGGAAAGAATAAAAGCAAGAAAGGAGGAAGGAATGAAGGAAGGATGAAAAAAGGAAAGAAAGAAGGAAAGAGAGAAGGAAGGAAGGAAGGAAGGAAGGAAGGAAGGAAGGAA